TGTGCTGTTAAGTCTGTTTAAAGTGAGATCATTTTACACTTGCTTTTGTCTTTTTCTGGTTTCCTTTGGTGTGGACTGTCGCCTACCCCCCCCCCCCCCCCATCCCAGTTTTTTTCCCCTGGCTCTTTGGAGCACCTGTACCTGTCATCCAAAAACACTGATTTGTTTGAGATCATCCTAGAGGCACAGTTGAGTCTGCTGTCCTCGCAGCTGGATTTCCTGTAACCTGGAAATTAGCTGCAGAAGTTTGATTAGATTCAGGTTGTTTCTGGCAAAGGCTCCTTGCTTTTATACACTTCATATTTCATCCCATCAGGAGGCATAAAAGGTCACCGGCAAATGATTTGTGACACTAAGTCTAATCCCTTTATAAGGAGCTAATTGCCAGTTTGGTCCAATTTATAAATGACCTGAGGGTGACAGAGGGTGGCAGTATGACCACCCATGTCCACTGGCCAGTTATTGTTCAGGAAGTTGCAGGCACGGTCATTTCCCAAGGCTACTGCTGAGCTTTTGGTGTGAGTCAGTTGTTGCAAGCCCTCCCTGGTTGCCTAGCAGAGGCTGTGGGTCAGTCCTGAGGTCAGGGCATGTGCTTAATGATTTTCCTCTAATTTAAATTTTTAGGTCGTGGAACTGGCTTCATGTTCTTTTCTAGTGAAAAATGACTTAGTGTCTGTTTGTCTATGTGTGTGTTTGAGTTTGTGTGTGTGTGTGTGTGTGTGTGTGTGCATGTGTGTTGATGGATATCCAACCCAGGGCACTGCCCATGCTAGGCTAGCACTGTAACAATGAACCACGTGTCCCCTACTCCCAGCATGTATTTATTCTTCTGATGCTCAAATTATCTCAAATCTGGAGCTAGGTATTTCTCCAAAGAGATATGATTCCTTTTAAGATAGGTTAGTGTTGAAAACAAGGACTGAATGCAGACATGTTCGTTTTTGTGGGGGGAGGGGGAGGAAGGCGATACTCCTGTCTTTCAGTTAGTAGCTAGGAAATATATTCTTTTCAATTATGAAATCATAATGACATTTTATTTCTTTCGCTTTTCTTGTGGTGCTGAGATGGAACCCAGAGCCTCACGCATGCTCAACAAAAATCCTACCACTGAGCTGTATCCCCAACCCTGTCATTACGCTGTCAGTAATTTTTATGTTACTGGCTTTTTTAAAAAAAAAAAAAAAACATCTTATAGCTCTTACATTTTCTGACAGCAAAGCTCTGGCTCCCTGTTAGGCACATTAATATAATTACTTATTTACATTACTCTCTCATACACGTGAAATTGTCTCACAAATCCCAGTACTGACACTTCCACCAATAATATAGCCACTGTGTAAGGTTTAAGCTTTCCTTACAATATACTTTTCAGTTGATGTGCTTGGGATTTTTGAAAAAAAAAAAAAAATCCCATTGGGATGGACAGCCAGAACACCATGTGCCAATGTCACCTGAAAGGATTCTTTCCTCTGGGTGTTCTAATTTGAAATTTGTTGTACAGTAAGTCTCATTTGCTCCTGTTCTGTTTCTTCCTCTAGGGTCTGTTTGGTTTCCCTTTGCGTTTTGCCCGGATCAGGCATCTACATGGTACAGAAATCAATCCATAGAACAACATATCCCCAAGGATCTTGTTCCCAGCCCTCTACCACAGGCTATTTCTCCTGCCCCTTTTGAGGAACTTTGTGTATTTTATTCTTAATGCTAGTTTTGGCTTACCTTTTGTATCAGTTACAAAACCATCCAGTGTAGGCGAGGAAGGATCTCTTTCGTCTCACAGTTTTAGGGCACACTCCAACATGGCGGGGCAGGCACGGTGGAAGGAGCATGAGGAGCTGGCCATGCTGTGTTCGCAGGCAGGAGGCAGGGCATGGTGAATTCAGTCACGGACCCCAGCTCATGGGATGGTGGCACCCAGATCCAGGCTGGGCCTTCCCTGCTCAGTTAAGCAGCCCTGAAAATGTCCTCCCAGATGTACCCAGAGGAATGTCTCCTAATTGGCCCTAAGTGCTACCGAATTGTTCCTACACACCATGCCTGCCCCTGTGATTTTCAAAGTGTCCCAGACAGCTTCATCTGTTAGATTCTAGTCTGTGTCCTGCCCATTCCATGGTACCTTTCGCTAAGCTTGGATCTTTACTAAGTCCTTTCCTGCTATCAGTTCTAAAACACTCTCTTCGCCATTCCTTTGTCTCTGTTGTCGGTTTGATACTCTCATCCACTATTGCTCCTGATCCTTAAGCTACCCCACTTCTGCTCTCTTAAGGTTCTTTTTATATGTGTTTATTGTATGTATATGAGCATTTTGCCTGCCCGCATGTATGTGTTCCATGTGTGTGCTTGGTGCCTTTAGCGGCCAGAAGAGGGCACTGGATCTCCTGGCACTGGAGTTACAGATGGTTGTGAACCACCGTGTGGGCTCTGGGCACCAGAATCCAGTCCACTGAAAGAACAACAGTGCTTCTTAACTGCTGAACCATCTCTCCAGCCCCTAGTCTTGTCTTTCTAACCAGGTTGCGTGTTCTTTCAGTGTGTGTGGGGGTACCTAGAATTTTTTTAAAAACATGTTCATGGTACATATTATTTATTTTGTATACATGTTGGGGATGGCAGTATATGCCTGCCACACCGCGTGCAAAGGTCAGAGAATAACTTGTCGGAGTCGGTCCTCTTTTCTACCAGGCGAATCCCCGGAATAGAACTCAAGTCATCAGGCTTGGTGGTGTGCACCTTTCCCACTGAGCCACTGTCTTGCCCTAGAATTCTTTTATATTCCCTGGTGGTATCTATGTAGACACACGTACACAGTAATATGTAACAGAGCCAGGCAGTTCTTGCTGTTAGCAGTTGTTACATGATGCACGGTCACTGCAAACTGCAGACACCACAGCCTTATTCTGACTGGAAATACAGAGTTACATTCCTTCGAGCCGCTGGATGCAACATTTTTATCAGGCAGTCAATCCATAATCTTGTTTTATGTGTGATTCTGTTTAAAGACACCTTGTTTGTTTAATACATACTTCTGAGTCATTAACGTTGCTCTCAGCCAACTGCGCTCTAACTCACTCCTGGAGCGGCCTGTTGAACGGGCACATGTCCTCTGTAAGGTACACCACAGCTTTCTCCGGTGCACGAATTCTAGGCAGCACTTGGCACTTCAGTCAGGGGGCCGTGGCACACACTGAAATCAGCTCCAAAAATGTCATTAGACAAGCAAAAGCCGTGGTGCTCAATAGGGAGGTCAAAGGGCACTTACTAACAGCCTCAGAGCTGAAACAGGGCGGCAGAGAATCATTTTCTCTGACCTCAGCAAGGGTGTGTGTTCATATGTGTGTGCAGCCGTGTGTGCATGTGGCGGCCATACATGGATGTCAGGTGTCTACCTTACCAAAAGAAAAACTTTTTATTACATTTTTTATTACATTTTATTACATTTGTTGTGGTGGGGGCACGCCTGTGCCACAGTGAGCATGTGGAGGTCAGAGGACAGCTTCGACGAGTCACCGCTGTCCTCCCGCCAGCGTGGGCCTTGAGGACTGAACTCAGATCCTCAGGCCCGGAGGCAAGCACATTTACCTACTGGCCTATCAGTATGGCCCCCAACTTATTTTTTTGAAACAGGGTCTCTTACCAGACCTGGAGTTCACTTCTTCAGAAAGTCTGCAAGGCTGGCCTCCAGCTCGGAATCCTCTCGCCTCCACCTCCTCAGCACTGGGATTATAGACGTGTGTTGTTATGCTGGGTTTTCCCGTGGGTGCCACAGCTGGAGCCAGGGTCCTCTGAACAGAGACTCTGGTGTGGGTTTTCACGAGATGGCCAGTGAATTCCTGATAAGACTTGGTGGACACAGTCTCTTTCCAGAGGTCGGGGATCGGGTAGCTGCAGCTCTTGGAGATGGCATCACAGGTGGCCATGGCAAAGTTGCCCAGCGTGGCAATGCAGCCCCTGGCTGACGTGTAGCGGTTGTCAATACCGGCCATCATCAGTAGCTTCTTGGTCAACAGGAGCAGAGACCATGCCAGTGCCTCTGGGGACAGGGATGAGAGGCACCAACGCAGAGCCACAGCGGCCTGTGACCTTGCATGGAACAGTGTAGGGCTTGCCAATCTTGTTCTCCTAGTACCTCTCTTCATAGGAACAAGATAGCCAAGATGGCTCGTTGGGTGGCAATGGCTACCTCCTTGGAGCACCTATCACCAAGACCAACATGATCATCCCTTAGGGATGCACCCAGGAAAAAGTCAGCAATCTCAGATTCCTTAATGGGCAGGGAAGTTCCTCCAGGAACTTCAGGCAGTCACTCTTTGACTTCAGTTTTACCTTGATGGACCCACGGCCTTGGTCATGGCCCTTAAAAAAATGCTGCCAAATCTTTCACAGAAGCTGCTGCCAAGGCCTCTCAATCCTGCGCCCCCAGGTCCTCAGGACCACCCTCACCCCTGTGTCAAATCCTGCCATTCGGTGTCTTCCTGAAGAAGAAGCAGCTTTTTTTTTTTTTTTTTTTTTTTATTCCGTATTCTGTGCATGTTCATCTGTGTGGTAGTATTTACACATGAGGACAATTGCTCATGGAAGCCAGAGAGAGTGTTGACCTCCTGGGGCTGGAATTACAGGCTGCACGTCGTGGGAGCTGGGAACTGAACTCTGGCCCTCTGAAAGAGCAGTCTGTACTTTCAGTCACTGAGTCATCTCTCCTGCGTGTCCATTTCTAGCCATGGATGACTCTAAACCAGCTCAAATACTGATTTGGGATTCAAGCACTCACCAACGTGAGTGACTTTCACATATGGAATCTATAAGTAGAGAGGACTGGCCCTGTCAGTCTGAGTTCAACCTCAGCCTACCTTCCTTTCCAGGCTTCCTTTTCCTTGCACACCACTGGGTGATCTTTAAAGTTCCTCTCAGGGCTGTCATTCTAGATTGCTGGATGCCCCCCCCCCACCCCTTCATCTGACTTCCTGTAGCTGGCCAGGCCCTGATCCGGTTACCTTTCTCCACAGGTTTGCAGACTTCCACGCAGCTGCTTCCACCTGCTCCCCGTCCCGCGCTTCCCTGCTTACTGGCCGGCTGGGTCTACGGAACGGAGTCACGCACAACTTTGCTGTCACCTCTGTCGGGGGGCTTCCTCTCAACGAGACCACCTTGGCTGAGGTGCTCCGACAGGCTGGTTATGTCACTGCCATGATAGGTAATGCACCCTGAGCAGTTGCTTCAAGACCTCAGAGTCTCTCCACGGCTGCTGCCTCTTCCGCTACATCTGTGTCTTTGTTGGTCTCTTTCTGGGTACGGTGGTAAGAATGCTTTCAGCTGGCTTTAAGTAACTGGAAAGACCCAACCTGAGGCCAAAAACGTGTGTAGCTCTTTTCTCCCATGATAATAAGCTTTGTGGTAAGTGATTGCCTCCATTAGGTCAGATTATCCCTAAGACACCTTTGGGAGCTTTTCCAGACTCCCTTCTGCTCTCCTGAGCATGATGGCTTTTGCTCATGAGCCTGTGGCTGCAATGCCTCAGCTTCAGGATCCTTCATTATCACTAGGTTCCAGGAAGGAGAGAAGAGACTGGGTAGCATCCTCATGCACCCATGCACTGCTGTCAAGAAACCAAATCTTCTGTTTAAGTATCCTTCCTTCCCAAGACCTGGGCTTAAATCTTAGTGTCTAGAATTGGGGGACGTGGCTACTGGGTGTCAAAAAAGTCTGAGAAACTCGGGACAGGATTATAATAGTTGACATAGCCCTGGGCGTGGCCATCTTGAACAAGCTGATGGCTCTGGGCCAGAAGTGCATCAGTGATGAAGTGCCAGCCTAGAATGCACAGTGCATTGGGTACCGTTACTATAAGCAAGCAACCCCCACCCTGCCCTGCCCTGTCATGCCCTATCCCCACACCGCCCTGCCTCGCCCTACCCAACCCTGTCCCACTGCAAAATTCTGTTAGAGGCATACATGAGGATATGAATATAGGATAGAAAAGCAGCGGTTGATTTCTCAATGTTCAGCCACTTCTTTGCACCCCTTCCTCCTTCCTTTTCTTGCTTTCTTCCCTTCTTCCTCTCTCTCTCTCTCTCTCTCTCTCTCTCTCTCTCTTTTTAATGTGTACCAAGATGGCCTCAAACTCATTCTACAGCTGAGGAATGAACTTCTGATTCTCCTGACGCCACCTCCTGAGTGCTGGAATTTTAGGCATGTGCCACCATGCCTGGATTTAAGTGGTCCCGGGAATAGAATCCAAGGCTTCACGTATGCTAGGCAAGCACTCTACCAACTGTCTCCCTAACCCTGTTTTTGAAATACCGTCTTACTATGTACCCCAAGGCTGGCCCCAACATACAGTCCTGTTTGCAACGTTAGAGTGCTGGAATTCCAGGCTTCTTTATCTTGTATATATTTTGCTCAGCATGCATTACGTTCTAGCCCCTAGGATACATTCATTTACACAGGAATTACTATTCTCCTATGGTAGGGTGAGAGAACTGTGTCTTGAGCCTGGAACAGGTGTTGTCTGCGCAGGACCTGACCCCAGCCTTCTCCAGATGCTGGGGCCTCCCTCCCTGCCAGTCTGCCTTGCAGATGCTGAGACCACGAAGCAGTTTCCTACAGCCTCCTCACCTCAGGCTGCTTGGGCTTCTTAGTTACTCCTGAAGAGCTGGTTCCAGTGGGATTCCCGAGTCTCTCCACCATAGTGAAATGGCAGGGGGGGTGTGCCAACAGGCTGTGACACCGAGGCCCTGGGGAGGAGACGCTGTTCTCTCGAGCTTTCTGTGTTAGCTTGGAGGATGCTGCTCTACTAAGACCAAGAGCTGACATCTCTGGCGTTTCCTTCCCCCGCTGAGTTTAAAGGCATGGCGTCTTTATATAGGTATCCAAAGTGGAGGGTGACATTCGTAGTCTCAGAAGGAGACGCCCCAGACAGTGGATGAAGGGACCAACTAAGAATTATCCTTCTCTCTTTCTAACTTCCAATGCTGGCACAAGCTAGAGTCATCTGAAAGGAGGGAATCTCAATTATGAAAACGCCTCCATAAGATCCATCTGTAGAGCATTTTCTTAATTAGTGATTAATGGGAGAGGGCCCAGCCCATTGTGGCTGGTGCTGTCCCTGGCTGGTGGTCCTGGGTTCTACAAGAAAGCAGGCTGAGCAAGCCATGAGGAGCAAGACAATTAACAGCACCCCTCCATGGCCTCTGCGTCAGCTCCTGCCTCCAGGTTCCTGCCCTGTTCGGGTTTCTCTCCTGGCTTCCTTGTGTAATGAGCAGTGATGTGGAAGTGTGAGCCAAATAAACTCTTCCTTTCCAAAGTTGCTTTCCATTACGGTGTTTCATCACAGCAGCAGTAGCCTGACCTAAGATACTCCTTTCCCCGCATTCCCTGCGGTACAATTATGCTGACAACATCAGGACCCAGGGGGCACATGAAGCTCCCCCTGGGGGTTGCCTGTTAGATAGACCTATAAGATGCGTCCATTTATCCCTTGAGCCAGGACCAGTTTGGTCTCTGGACTGCCGGATGCTAGAGCCTTATACAAAGCAGGGGGATGGGTTCTTCATCTGCCTTGATATTATGGTTCCCTTTGACCTTTGAAAACCAAGTAAGCAACTGATCACAGGTAGCTGGATAGCTTCCATCCCTTCCCTTACTCCCTACTGCACCTTTTGCAAGCCCTGAAGAAGACAAGGGCATCCATGTGCTTGTGAATGTAACCTGCAAAAGGGCTCTGGGGTCTGTTTACAGGGCTCAGCAATGCTTGAAATCTTCGTCTGTGTTCATGAATTTTTACCTACATGTGTAGGTATCCCTTGGTATCCCCTTTTCCCTTTCATATTATTTTATATTTTATCATAATACACCCTTTTTTCAGACAGAGACTTTCTGTGTATCCTAGCTTTGGAGTCTTATATAACCTAATCTGGCCTTGAACTTCTGAACTTCCTGCCCCAGTGTTTTAGGTGCTGAAATCACAGACATGTGCTACCACACCTCATTTATTTCTTTTTTCTTTTCTTTTTTTTTTTTTTTTTTTTTTGGACAGGGTCTCACTATACAATCCTGACTGGCCTTGAACTTACAATATAGACCAGGATGACCTGGAACTCCCGGAGACCCACTTGCTTCTGTCTCCTGAATGCCTGTTTCTTTAAACCTTTTTCAGATCCACAGAACAGAGCTGGGCATGGTGGTATATGACTGTAAGTCTAGCTCTCAAGGGGCTGAGAGAGGAGGTCTTGAATCCAAGGCCAGCCTGAGCGCCATATAAAACCCTGTCTTACACTGTGTTTCATTAAGGCCACATCAGATAGTTTCCTTAGGCATGCCCCTGTCTGCTTGCTAGCCTCCCTCCTTTAAGTGTCAAAGGTCACCACAGTTTGCATCTTCAGATTGCTTGTGTATCTCTGGCCCCCGTGCCTTGGCAGCAGTTTCCTGGGACCCAGTCCTCACAGTAAATGAGCAGATCAGAGGTTCTCACGTTGTCTGAGCTCTGCCCCACACCGCCCGATTATCCCCCCAGAAGGAATGGAGCAGGATCTGCGGGTGGCTGACTTTCTCATTTGCTGCCCGGCAGGTGTTTCAGTGCTGGAGCTACTGGGGGGAAGTGGCCTCTCCCCTCTCTGCAAACTGCTGATGACGTCACCCAGAGAGGAAGATGCTGAGGCCAGGCATTTCTGAGAACAGGCAGGGTTTGCAGGATCCTCCACAGGGCATCTACAAGCCACGTGCTCCCCAAGGAAGAGGCTCAGCTGGGCAGCATCACTGAGCTGCTGGGAAGAAGAGCCATCCCTAACTCATCTTTACTTATGTAGTCCTGAGTCAGCCAGTCCTTGCTGGCCTCCCACCTCCCTGAGGTATCTGTGTGGGTCCCATAGAGCAAAACTTGGCAAGCACACAGCCTTGGCAGCTTCTCTTTGTCCTCACTGATGTGTGAAGCTGATGGAAATGGAGTGTGTGATCAGCTTCCCCGATGGTCTGCGTGTTTTCTTAGAGACCCCTCTGAAGGCCTCTTTCTCTCTCTTTTCCCACAGGCAAATGGCATCTTGGGCACCATGGCTCTTATCATCCCAATTTCCGTGGTAAGATTGTTGTTTGGAGTTTGTTCCTTGGGAAACAGAACATAAGGCTCTCTGTGTAGTAGAACACTATGAGCATTTGAAGCCATTGTATCCCTGGGAATACTCTATGTTAGGACATCTCTGATTCAAAAGTCATGTAGGCACATGTGGAGTACCAGTGGCCCCATCCTCACATCGCTATTTCTAGAACGTTTTTCCTGGTCCCCTACTTGTTGTCTGTCAGTCCAAAGACGAGTCCACTGTGGACCTGTCCTAGTTGGGGTTTTATTGCTGTGGAGAGACACCATGACCATGGCAACTCTGAAAAAGGAAAACATTTCACTGGGGCTGGCTTACAGTTTCAGAGATTTAGCCCTGAGCGTAGGAGACCTCAAAGCCTGCCCCACAGTGACATACCTCCTCCAGCAAGGCCACACCTCCTAACAGTGCCATTCCCTGTGTGCCTATGGGGACCAATGACATTGAGACTCCGAGAGGACCTATCCATTCCCTCCTGTCTCCCAGTTCCTGGTACCTTAGGGAGCAGTCTATGACATCCTGACAGCACAGGTAGAAAAAGGTGATGGCGCATGAACCCTGATAGAGGACGCTGTCTCCTGGCTTCCTCTTGAAGATGTTTGTATCCTCAGACTGCTCACCCTTGGCCATGGACAAGAAGACCAAGGCTAGGCTGTCAAAGTGGATTCTCTGAAAATAATCACCCATTCAACGCACTTTCTGAATGTCAGATTTTTCAAAATATGTGTTTTTTTTCCAACTTGTAATTTGTGTCTCTGTCCTTTCCCTAGCCTTTTCCTTTGCTTATGGGAACCCGCCGAATGTCCTTTAGAAGCAATTTACCATGTCAACATATGCAGCCTTTGGCCCTGTAGATGTCTGTCTGTCTTCTCCTGACACTTTATACACAAATAGGTGGCCTTTTTTTTTTTTCTTTTAGTGTCTCTGACTATTTTGCAAACTTCTCCCTCACCTTTCCTAAGTGTCTCTCTCTGACTGTGGCAAAGGGCTGCATTGTGCTTGAAGGATCCTTTTAAAGGAACACAGAGGGCAGAAGATGAAATTGTGACATTTAAAAATGGCCAGTGGAGGAAATGAACACCGAGCCTGTCCACTAACAAAAAAAAAAAAAAAAAAAAAAAAATCTCTCCAGGACCTGTGTGTTCCCTTCCAGGCCTCTTGAGTTGGATTTCTCATTGGGTTGGATTACATCCACTGTTGTCATCTTGAGCATTGTTCCTGGAGTGCCAGGCAGAGAGGCATACTGAGTCTTGGCTCTGTTTAGACATCAAAGGTCCATGGTGGGATTGAGAGTCTGACCCCACACTAGGAAGTGAGAAGAAAGAGATCTCCTAAGTATTTGCTGTATTTGCACCAAATAGTCCTGGAAGCCTTCTTGCTTGGATGCTGTGGGGTTTCTTGGCTGCTACTTCTTTCCTTTCCAGAGTTTTGCACCCTGCCCGTGTAGACTATGCTGGTTCCCACAAACCTCTGTGTTCTCTCACAAACCCGCATGGATCGTGTTAAACAGTCACGTTCCTCATATGCATCCATGCCCCACCTGCCATTCTTGGCTACTTCAGAGACCAGGCTCCAGTAGACAGTGAGGCTTCTCACCAACTCAGGGCTTGAGGGCAGCTCATGTCTAAACTAAAAGTTGGTATACGGCGTGGACCAAATCCAGCATGCTAAGAGTTTCTGTAAATTTAGTGTTATTGGAGAATTGCCTTTGGGTGTTTTGTGTTACAGTGATAGAGTTCAGAAGCCTTCATAGAGACCTCTTGCCAACGAAACCTGAAGTACTTGCTCATCTTGACAACAAATTCTGTCGCAGTTCAGGGCTCTGTCATTTACCTATGAGGTATTTAAATCTGTTGGTCCAAATAAGGTTGACATAGAGTTATCAGGTTTTCTTCAGCACTAGTAACACTTACCAGCCATTCTATATATACTAGTTATGACAAACACTATGACCAAGAGGAACTTAGGGAGAAAAGGGCTTATTCGGCTTACACTTCCAGATCACTGTTCAAACATCAAAGGAAGTCAAAGCAGGAATTTGAAGCAGAAACAAAGAGGAATTCTGCTTGTTGGCTCTCTTGCAGACCTATGGTTAGCTAGCTTTCTTATATAGCTCTGGAACTGCCTAGGGAACCTGCCTAGGGAATGGTGCTGCCCACAGTGGGCTGGGTCTTTCTACATCAATGAACAAACAAGACAGTTGCCCACTGACATATCCACAAGCTAATCTGATCTGGGCAGTTTCTTAATTGAGATCTCCCCCTTCTCAGGTCGCTCTAAGCTGTGTCACGCTAATAGGTAAAGCTAACTGGGACATAAACCACGAACTGGCGAATTTGGGTCTAATGTTCCAACCTAAGGAATGCAGTGCCAAAGGGAGAGATCTTGTCATTCATGCTGACAGAGAGTCTGAAAGTTGTGATTGGACTAAGAAAAAAGAAAGAGGAAAGGGCTAGCAGGAAGTGGTGAGGAGCGGGGCGTTTTATAGGAAACCGTAACAGGCAGCTTCTGTATAGCTTCATTGGTAAGAGTTACAGAGCAGGCAATTCCAGGCAGAGCCACTGGGGTTCCAGGATATGAGTCACATTGAGAAATGGCAGGCAGCTGCTTTAGGATAGGAAATGTGCAGATAGAGCAGGCAAGAGGCACAGGCAGGGGCTGAAGAGGCAACCCTCCTTGCTTACCAGGCCCAGTGAAGAGCTTAAGTTGTAGAAGACACAGGCTGAAGGAGAGTGTCAGGAATTTGGGTCCCAACACTCACATTCTTACTTCCTCCATTCCATTCCACCTCCCAAACCTGCATCCTCTCACCATTTGGAGTCCTGGCACAGACACTCATTCTTTAGGAAGCTTGATGAGATGCTGAGATTGCTGTCTCAACCCCACTCTACCCACTGCATCTGGGAATAACTTCTGCCTCTGGCCTCAAACCTGGGATCTTCCAACCTCCTCCTCCATCATGCTGGGATTATAGGCATACACCATCCCGCCTGAGTCATCCAGTTCTCGTGGCTTCACATAGCTTGTTTTTTCATTAACAGTTACGTGTTTATTTTGTGTGTGCTGTGGCGCGTGTACATGGAGGTCAGAGGGCAACTTTTGGGAGTCAGTCCTCTCCTTCTCCCGTATAGCTCTGGGGATGGAGCTCACATCATTAGGCTTGCTCATTAGGCTTGTCGGCAAGCACCTTTCCTTCCTGAGCCCTCGCACTGGCCCTACACAGAAAGCTTCTTGAAGGCAGGAGTTTGATCTCCCGAAGCACTGCGTATGCAGTGGATTGATTGATTTATTTTTTACCAGGTACTTACCACATGTGTTCAGTAACTTCATGGAAGATGTTAGGCAGTCAGGAATTCTTGATACCTTCCTCCCCATCTAGGTTAACTCTCATCACAAGACATTTCTCAAAGCTAGTCTTACAGCCAGAACCCAGCGAAATGATTTTTCCTTGCATACTTCAAAGGGATATTAATCAAATCCTCTTTTAATTACACACTGTAGAGCACTGCAGTATTAAATCACGGGAAATTAAATTTTCTGTTGTGAGCGTAAGAGGGCAGGCGTGCTGAGAAGCAGTAAGCGGGGGTGCTAACTGATTGCCCCTCTTCCAGGCTTTGATTACTTCTTTGGGATCCCATATAGCCACGATATGGGCTGCACGGACACTCCCGGCTACAACTACCCTCCTTGTCCAGCGTGCCCCCAGAGTGACGGCCAGTGGAGGTAAGAATGCCCGAGGCATTGGCTGCGGGTTTTAAGGCAAAGTGGAGACCCGAGTTCATCTAGAAAAAGTGAATGGGAGACCCAAGGTTCTTCTAGAATAAATGAATGAGATAGATATGGACAGTTGAGGCATCACACAAGATAGAGACCGTGTCCAGGAAAAGGGTTTTTACTTATGTCCCAGTGCAAAGATGGGAACTGCACTCTTTTTCCTGTTGGAATTTTCCAAAATCTCAGGATTGTTTAGCTCACCTGGGGAGAGCCTGGAGTGCCTGCCAAAGCCTCACACAGGTACAGCTTCCCTCCTCCCCTGCCTGCTGGCTTTGTTCCTGGACTACTTGCTACTTTCCTGGTCCAGACATGGGCCATAAGGAGAGAGAATGAGACAGAGACAGAGAGAAAGAGAGAGATAGAGACAAAAGGAGAGAGAGGTGCTAAGCATGCCTGAGGTCAGAGATTAGCTCAGTTTCCGTGCTCCTCTCTCTTCGAGCCTGTGGAGGTGGTTATTCCTAAGGCCACAGGTGTCTGAACTGCTTAGGGAATGTGTCAGCTGGTCCATTAATAACACAATGCTTAATATAATGATGGCTGTTTAGTGAAAAGTTCTACATTCTTGGCACACGCCCCCCTTACCTGTAATACACAGGACCAATCTGCCTTGCCTATATCACACCAGAAATGGCAGGAGAAAAGAATTCCAATTGCAGTTTTAGTCTTTAAGTCCAGGACCCATGTCCTCCACGTTGGCTTCTTAGTGTATGGTTGTTGGACCGGCCTTGTGGGTGTCATCACTTGGGTTCACACCTGGGAAGCACAGAACTCCCTCCTAAGCCTTCACTTGGTAAGATGGCGGGTGACACGGTGAAGGGCTGTGGCAAGCTTTGCTGCCTCTCTCACACAACTCCGTGTGGCATAGGAGTCACACCTGCGTCTCCCTGTGGCTGTATCACGGCATGGGGTACATCAGCCAATGTCTCCTTCTCTCCTCCCTCAGTCTTAATCAAGGCAATAAAAAGCTGAACATTCCAACAAAAATATGGAATAATCAAGCCAGCATCATAACTACTTTTTTTTTAAATTTCTTTGGTAGTTAATTTATTTTTATGTATATAGCTGTGCATCTGTGTGTGGGTTTGTGCTGTAAAAGCAGGTACCCAAAGAGGCCAGAAGAGGGCATCAGATCCCTGGAGCTGGAATTACAGGTGGTTTTGAACCACTTCATTTGGGTGTTTGGCTCCTTTGCAAGAGCTGTAAGTGTTCTTAACTGCTGAGCTCTCTCTCTCTCTCTCTCTCTCTCTCTCTCTCTTTCTCTCTCTGTTTTTTTGAGACAGGGTTTCTCTGTGTAGCCTTGAATTTCCTGGACTCACTTTGTTGACCAGGCTGACCTCGGACTTAGAGATTGACCTGCCTCTGCTTCTCTGAGTACTGGGATTACAGGCACTGAGCCATCTCTTTAGCTTCAACTTTTTCTTTAAAAAAAAAAGTGTTTGGTAATGATTTACCCAGTTTGGCATCATCCCCTAAGCTTTTACAACAGGGTATTGTACCCATGTAGGTATAGCAGCATTTCAAATTATCCCCAGTTCTTCTCTAATTGTCCTTGGAAGGACATGAGCGACACTGCTCACTTCTTGTTTTTTTTCACCCACTTCTTGGTGGTGACTAGGGCAGAAAGCTGTCTTTTGTCCTCCTGGTATCCCCGGTAAGGGGCACAGGTACCCCCATGCTAGACAGTTGGAAACCTCTGAGAGTGAAGATAGCTCAGACAAGATGGTGGCCAGGGAGAAGGTGTGAGTCTGTCAGAGTCACTTCAGCCTCAGGACCCACAGCGGGATTTTTTTTTTTTCTAATAATTGGTATCCTTCTGACTTCCCATGATGCCCCAGGCTCATAAGCATCTCGCCAGGTTTTACAGGGTGGCTGGCTCATCCAAGGAACACAAACATCTATTCAAAGGGAACAGAAAAGCAACTGACCTGCTGAGTCCTCTGGGACCAGCTATGAAATGTTTTCTGTGTGTGTCACTTTACAAAAGCTTTCTGTGACTGTTTAGGGTGTAAAAATGAGTCCCCTCCTCTCTATGTTTTGCACCCAGGAACCCCGGGAGGGACTGTTACACAGACGTGGCCCTTCCTCTCTATGAGAACCTCAACATCGTGGAGCAGCCTGTGAACCTGAGCAGCCTTGCGCAGAAGTATGCAGAAAAGGCGGTGGAGTTTATTGGTCAGGCCAGGTAAGGAGCACAGTACCTTGCTCTTAGCCCCTCTTCCACACACACCAAGTCCTCCCGACTTGTGAGGGCCGAGGCAGAATTTCATGGTTCACTAAGTATGCATGTCTGTCTCCCATAGGCTAGTAACGTTGGAAAATGGTCCTGGTGGATCCTCTGGTCCTGGGTTAGAAGGTCCTCAAGTATGTTTCTGAGGCCTTTGACTATTGTTTGATCAGCACCATGGTCATAGGCATTTTTCCTTCTCCTACTTGAGTGCAAGTTCCTTGAGGGTGAGGCCTGGCTGCTGCATTCAGTGCTCTTGGGATATTTGTGAAATTCCTTTGTTAGCAGGATGTATGAGTTCCCTGCTGCTGTTATAACAAATGGCTGCCAAGGTGGCTAAAACCAATAGTAACCATAGTAACAAGTTCTCCTCAGGTCTAGAAGCCAGATGTCTGAAGCCAGCCTTAGAGGGTTACCATCAAAGTATGAGCATGGCTTATTCATTCTGGAGCCTCAGAAAATAACTGTTTCTTTTATCTTTTGATAGCTGTTAATTTTCCTTGATTTATGGCCACATCATTCTAATCTCTACATCTATTGACCCCTTGCTATTTCTACACGTAGTCAGATACCCTCACCCCTCCCATTTTTAGAAAGAGTCTCTTGTAGCCCAGGCTGTGAAACTGAGGATGTCCTTGAACTTGTGATCTCCCAAGTGCTGGAATATGCCACCACACCCAGCCTTCTTTTAAGGACAGTACTGATTAGTAGTCAACCAGGAGCCGATGATGACCCAGTCCAGCACTCAGGAGGCAGAGGTCATGGCCAGCCAAAAAAAAAAAAAGGTCAACCAGGAAGTATGAAGATGGTCTCATCTCAAGATCTTTACCATAACTATCAGGTGTTAATTAAAGTCTTCTTTTCTATGGAAGGTAGGATTCCCCAATTCCAGGACTAGATTTCAGGTATGTTTGGAGGTTGCTATCCAGTACCCCACACAGGGTTCCACATACATCCATCTACAGAGCCCGCAAAGTAGGGCTGGAGAGATGGCTCAGCAGTGAAGAGCATTGGCTGCCCTTCCAGAGGATCCAGCTTTAACCCTCAGCACTCAGGCTCACAACCATCTGTAATTCTACTTCCAGGAGATCTGAGTCTTCTGGCCTCCAAGGGTGCTGCACACATGTGGCACATAGACATACACGCAGGCAGAATACACATACATGTAATACAGAATTTAAAGAGAATCCTCAAAAGAACAGAAAGCAGGCTGAACGCGGGAAAAACAGACCCCATCTATAGTGAGCAGCAGCTACTTTGCTGCAGCCACTGCGGTGAGCCTGGGATGCAAGCCTGGGATATCAGATCTTTCCACTTTCTGGGAGAGACAGGAGACAGTCTTTAAATGTTAGAAACTGTCAGTTAAAAATAGCCAAAAGAGGGCTCAAGATGGCTCCTTGGATAAAGATACTTGCTGCTAAGCCTGACGATATGCACTGAATCCCAGGAACCATGCAGGTGGAAGGGGAGAACCAACTCCCAAAAGTTGTTCTCTGACCGCCACACACCATGGCCCTTCTGTATAAACTAAATTAATGTTCCAGAAAAACAACTGAAAGTGACAACAAAATCCATACCACTGTGTGCGAGGGCCGCTGTTGTATGTCCTTGTCCTGTCCCAGCAAATAATGTCTGGAAGTGTGATTGATTTAGTCCTTCTCCCAAGATCTCAGACTTGGGAGAAATGTGCCGTATGGTTACCTCCTCATGCAGAATTAAAATAGCTTCATTGTCAGTCCTGACTCAGAAAGGCAAATGGGACATTGGAAGAGGCAGAAAACAGGGAACAGGACAGGAGCTACCACAGAGTGCCTCTGAAAGACTCTACCCAGCAGTGTATCAAAGCAGATGCTGAGGCTCATAGCCAAACTTTGGGCAGAGTACAGGGAATATTATGAAAGAAGGGCAAGACAGAAAGACCTGGAGGGGACAGGAGCTCCACAAGGAGAGCAACAGAATCAAGAAATCTGGGCCCAGGGGTCTTTTGTGAGACAGATACTCCAAATAAGGATCATGCATGGAGATAACATAGAACCCCTGCACAGATGTAGCCCATGGCAGCTTAGTGTCCGAGTGAGTACCCTAGTAAGGGGAGCAGGGACTGTCTCTGACATGAACTCAGTGGCTGACTCTTTGATCACCTTCCCCTGATGGGGGAGCAGCCTTACCAGGCCACAGAGGAAGACAATGCAGCAAGTCCTGATAAGGCCTGATAGGCTAGGGTCAGATGGAAGGGAAGGAGGACCTCCCCTATCATTGGACTTGGAGAGGGGCATGGGAGGAGAAGAGGGAGGGAAGGTGGGATTGGGAGGGAATGAAGAAGGGGCTACAGCTGGGATACAAAGTGAATAAACTGTAATTAATATAACAAAAATTAGAATAAAAAATAGCTTCATCTGTGGATACCTGAGCAGACCAACCCCTGACAGCAGGATCCTACAGCTCTTGCTTGGCCATGTTGGACTTTTCTAGAAACACCATCAAGAAGGGCAGAAGTGGCAGGTGAGGTAGACTCAGTTGTCTGTGTGTGCTCTTCAGAAAACAACCCATTATTTCAGTCCCGAATCTCAGAGCAGCATCCCAGGATGCTGGAGGTTGCATCTGAATAAGTCTCCAGACCTTTCTGAGAAATACTGTCAATGGTTTTCCTCAGCTTGATGATGTAGACAGAGCAGAGCTTTTCTGATCTGGAAGGTTGGGGCTCTCCCAGCTTCCTACAGCTTTGAAACGGTACTAGTTCCCTTTGCCCTGTGACAAGCAGATGCTTCATGGTTGGTGAAGACAGTTTTCTGGTGTTTAACAGAGCATCAGACTTCTGAGCAGGAGGGAGGACAGCTGGGGCCAGGGACTGTGTAAGGTTCACTCTGCAGGGGTGGTAGAGCCTGGGGCATCAAAAAAAAAAAAGTGAATTTCTTAGTTAAAGTGAAAGATAATGAGTCACTGGCTTTTTAACTTTACAGAGGTAATTACTGTGCATGTGTTTGTTTAAGATTTGACCTGCCAATTTATCCATGACTTTCTCACAGTAGCAGAAAATGTCCCTGGACCTGCTTGAATCTGTGTCATTAGTTTTATGTCAACTTGACACAGCTAAAGTCATCTGAGAGGAAGAAACCTCGATTAAGAAAACTCCCCCATAAAATGAGGCTGTAGGCAAGCCTTGAGGGCATTTTCTTAATTAGTGATTAAAGAGGGAAGGTCTATAAAGAGAACCAGGCTGAGCAAGCCATGAGGAGCAAGGCAGTACACAGCATTTCTCCATGGCCTGTGCATCAGCGCCTGCCTCTGGGTTCCTGCCCTGCTTGAGTTCCTGTCCTGACTTCCTGCAATGATGAACAGTGATATGGAAGTCGAGGCCAAATAAATATTTTCCTTACCACCTTGCTTTTGGTCATGGTGTTTCATCGAAGCAATAGTAATTCTAACTAAGATAACACCTACTTGGACCTGCTTGTCAAAACTATCAGGTGATGTGAGTTTTTCACACATCAGACAAAAATCTAAATAGGAGAAAAGGCAGAAAGTGGATGGCACAGGGTCTGGGAGCATGGAACCAACCAGTCCTATGCTGCTTCCTGGGAATAGGGCACAGAGGTCTTGGGAAGGGCTAGAATATATAGGCGTGGGGAGGTACACTGAGATGGGTGCTGTCTATGAGGATGTGGGAGAGATGTCTCCATGCTGGGTAAAGACTGTCCAGGTCCGCTACTTTGGGGTTCACCCCCACTCCTATGGACAACTCTACACTCTTGTTCTGCAAGCCCAATAAACTTGTTGATGCCCCAGGATGAACTCTGGTGAAATCATGTCATTGTGACCCTGTAAAGAGCGAGCAGACATTGTTTATATCTCCCCAGGGAAGGACGTTTGGAAAAACTCGCCCCCCCTTTTTTGACCTTCATTACCCCATCCTACTCACTCCTACTATGGTGATGTGTTCCCTCCTCATCTTCCTGCCCAACCCAGATGCCAACAGACCAGGGCTCTAGATTCAGTTTGTAGACACACTTCACCCATTCCTACTCCTCTTCTTCCTGTTTAGATGCTGGGATGAATACTGATCTCTGGGTAAATGAACTAACAATATGTTAGCAATCATAGCTAATTTCCCCAGTGATGCCTCTGCCTTGAGTGGTCGCCATGCCTGCATACCGGCAGCTACTTACTCCTCGGGTCTCATGTGGTCCTCATCACTATTTTTTTTTTGAGACAGAATTTCATATATAGGCTAGACTTGATCACCTCATGAGTGCTGGATTACAGGTGTGCACCACTGTTAAGTTTTGGATTGGGAGGTGCTGAGTCAAGAGGACTCAGATTGCTGGGGAACAGGAAGGAGGTTTGTTGGACAAGTTGTCGACAGCATGGACCAACATAAAGAAAAGGCAGTTGTGAGATGCCCAGTGTTGGTGCTAGGGACTGAACCTGGGTCTTCTGTGAGAGAAGTAACCGGGGAAAAAGAAGAGTGATGGAGATGGGTGAAAATGGGTCTTCAAGGTGAATCCAGAGCCCTGGTCTGTTGTTGTTGGGTGGCATCTGGGGTGTGAAGGAGGATGGGGAGGAGACACATCAGCATGGTAGGAGTGAGTGGGGAGAGAAGTCACCCACTCAGCCATCTCTCCAGTCCCACCTCAAAAAATTTTACCCCTGGTATGCAGGTATCTAAAATAGGAACACACACCAAACATGTACTGACAACAAATCATAAAAAGATTATTTTCAAACAATTCTTTGGCATATATGTAATTTAACACTCATTAAAGATGAAATGTGCTTGTTTATTTTTACATGAAATATTAAACCCTCTAGGGCATATATGTAGCACAAAATGGCAGAAGTATGTTTGGTGCCATTTTAGAAATGACTGGGAAGTCTGTCCTGAGGGTGAGCCAAAATTCACTGAGTGATTTTTAAAAAAGAAAAGAAAAAAAAAAAAAAAGGAACTCAAGTCAGCAACTCAGACAGCTTTTATAAAAAATTGTTTTTATTATGTATATTTGCTTACATGTTTGTGTGCCAGGCATGCTGGGTGTCTGTGGAGGCCATAAGAGGTTGTCAGGGTTGGGTTGGGTGGAGTAGTGGGATTGGAGGTTCTTCAGCCAAGCATGCTACCCCCAAGTCACATCCCCAGGCTGCTTTTCTTTCTTTTTATCTTGAGACAGAATCTCACTAAATTTCCAAGGTTGGTCTTGAACTCACCATGTAGCCCAGTCAGTCCTTGAACTTGTGACCTTCCTACCCCAGTTTCCCAAGGAGCTGGGATTACAGGCCTACACCATGAGACCATGGAGACTTTGCTTGGAGGCCACCCCAGCTCTCTCAAGCCTTTAATTCTGAATTTCCCAGAGGAATCAGGTCTAGTATAGAACAGAGCCTTCATCTAAATATCCCCTGTGGTCACACACATCTTAGAGATTCCTTGTGGATCTGTCTCCTAGAATTAACATGGTTGATGTAGTAAATAATAATAAAAAAAGTGTTGGGCTATATAATGTTTGTTATTATTAGTCCTAAGATTATGATGGCAGTATATTTTAACCTGCTGTCACAAATAATAAGACACAGACACCTGTTAGATTTATAATTGCCTTATTTACCTTGGGCCAGGCAGATATTCCTACTTTTGCTGTCTGAACCACCTCACCATCCATCTCCCACCCCCCATGCCATTCTCCTTAACCATCCTAGCTTCCATCCATAATCTTATAAATACTTGCTTTTATTCTTCATCTGGGCCTTTCTACACCATTGCTGGAGTCCTTCCTCCCAGCTCCACATGTTTCTTTTTCCTCCAGGATAACCCATCGTAGTGTCCTCCTTCTTTCTCTCTTTCTGCCCATCGTCTGTTTATTTCCCGTGATCCTCTCTGTCCTCCAAAGCTCAAGAACCTTAGCCATGCCTATCCCATTCTGCCCTGCTCAGGTATAGGCTGTTTAATTAACCAATCATATAAGTCTTAGGCAGGTTTACTAAACAAAGATAGGTATAACCAGATCTTAAGGGCCAATAACACGCATCAGACCAACTTCCAACACATGGTGGTTTGGATGCCTGGACTCTGAAGTGCAGCAAAGAGCACAGGCTTCCTTCTAGGCAGACATGAGTTTAAGTCCAGACCATCTGTTACTACTCAAATAACCTGAAGGAAGTCCTTAAATCCATTTAAATTTCTGATTTGTCTCCTGAAATGAGAACTTGAGGGTTAACCTGAGAATGGACTTAGACAGCGGTCCTGTGTCATAGCTCTATTACATAAGACTAGCCATTGTAACAGTGCATTGCTTTTCTAATCAGCTAACCAGATAAGACTGTAGACAAATGCATTATCCTTGTGCCTTCAGGGCAGGTCCTGTGTCAGAGGCCCTGTAGAAGATCAGCCTCCTATAGAGGCTCTGAGATCTCCCATTTGTTTCAGCACCAGCGGAAGACCCTTCCTGCTCTATGTGGGCCTGGCCCACATGCATGTGCCTTTATCTGTGACTCCACCATTGGAAAAGCCACGGAACCAAAGTCTGTATCATGCAAGTCTCCGGGAGATGGACAGTCTGGTAGGGCAGATCAAGGACAAAGTTGACCACATGGCGAAAGAAAACACACTCCTCTGGTTTACAGGTAAAGTAGAAGTCCGGTTAATCTGGCTGGGATCTAATATACAGGCACACGGGGGTCTATGGAAAGCAGTGTCTGATCATTTGGCATCTTTAACAGGGGAGGGGCTCACTGTGAACTTGGGGCCCTGATGATATTAATTTGCTTGAATGCTGAGCATGTTGGGAGCCAGGTGGGAAGAGTCTCCTGGCAAGATGTGAGGAGGACAGATACATGGTACCTGAGCAGAGGTAACCAGCCACATGACAAAATGTAGTTAGTATAAATGGGTTATTTTAAGTTATGAGCTAGTCAGAGAAGAGCCTAGCTATGTGGTCTAAGCATTTATAAACAATACTTTGAGTTTCCTGAGTAATTTTTCTGGGAGCTTGGGGATGGGAGTAAATGCCCTACCTTCAACACCTTTTCTGTTTGGTTCTTCATGACTGAGTCACAAGAATGGTTGGGGCTGATGGAGCATGTGCTTCACTGGACCCACGCATGTTAACTAGGACTCTCTGACTATTTACTCTTACTTGTTAGAGAGCAACTTTGGCATTGTGAGCTTGTGTAGTTCTTTCTCATCTACTCCCTGGTCCCAATGGTCATGGCTGCTGCTGGCCATATCTTTAGTCAGGTGGCTCCAGAAGAACTGAATTAATGATCCCTTTAAAGAGCTCACATGTAGCTAGGTATCATAATACATAACATTTTGTAGAATTCTAGCACTTTAGAATCTAAGGCAAGAAGATCTCCAGTTCAAAGCCAGGCTTTGAACTTTTGAGGCTAGTCTGGGCTATTTTTAGCAAGAGTCTGTCTCAGAAAAATCTAAAGGTGTGTGTGTGTGTGTGTGTGTGTGTGTGTGTGTGTGTGTGTGTGTGTGTGT